GGAGGAGCTGAGAGCCAGACCTCAGCTGTCTTCAGCTCACACTGGTTTCTAGAGTCCTACAGATTTCCCACAGATGTTTAGTAACTAGGAAATTTATGCTTATTGTGTTAGTCTTGCTTTTCTCATCTGTCTTTTGGCACCTGCCTTAGTGCACAGACAGAAAACGTCTGGAGCGTCTCTGTTTCTCAGTTGCACGGCCCTAACCATGTCAGAGGGACTGTGTCTCAGGACACACTTTTGGCATGGCATGCCAGACTCCTGAGATGGCCACGTTTCCTCATGTGTGCTGTGGCTCTTGTGATGGCAGCATTGCTCTGATGAAGAGGGAGCCAAGTACAGACAAAAAACCTCCTCAATTCCCTGTTTTCTGCACATTCAAATGGGAATTTACGGGGAACAAAGGTCAATCAGGAACTGTCACAGCAGAATCTGGGCTCCTGACTTTCTGCACTCTTTTCCTGTGGTGTTTCAGAGCAGAACGTGGAGCAGAGGATTTGTCTTGTTCATGCTTTGCTCTGGGTTTGGTTTTTTGGGTAAAGGACTAAGCCTCACTTTGAGTGCTCCCAAACAAGGTGGTGGGGAGCAGGTGCTCAGTATCTCCTGCAGGCAGGTTCCAAATACTCACTGGAAATTACATGTCACTTCGAGTTACTGGAAGTGCTCAGCACAAACTGCAGTTCAGGACATTGACAACAGCTGTTGCAAAGGCACTCTAAGGATTCCTTTCCAGCAAGGTTGAGCGCATCCACATCAGCTCAGAGAGTTGTTTCTTGCTTTAAAATGACCTAAAAGGTAGATTTAAAGTGAAGGAAGGAAATTAAAAACAAACCAGCCTGGAGGGAACCTTGCTATTCTACAGGAATACTGGAGCACCATTTACTTTTGTGCTTTCCTGGGGCCTTGTTCCATCTGTATTTGCTTTTTACTCTTCTTTGCTCTCAGTCATGGAAATGGACATCTTGATTAAGGCATTTCTTCCAGTGAGGAGGCAGAATGCAGCATCATTTAATCTGAGACTTTTCATGAATGTCTCTAAGCAAAAAAAAAAATAAAAAATAACCATGAATTAGGTATTAGAATAAAGAATTTATTTAGCTTATGGCTTATTGAGGGGCTCACCATACTGGTTTTATATTTGTCTCTTCCTAGTTTCCAAAGGGCTGCTGGGTTTGCTTTCAGATTGTAACCTGTAATACTGAATGGGGAGAGGATGGAAAGATGAATTGGGAAGAGGAGGCAGACCTTAGCAAGTGCCCTAAGCTCTACTCTGAGCCTCCAGCTGTGAGCTTTAGAGACCAGAATAAAAATAAGCAAACATTAGGCTCAGCAAGGCAACGTGATTAAGGATTTGGCAACTGAGATCTTGAGTTTTTCTGTTGTCTTTTCCATTTCTGCCATTTGCTCTTCATTTGCCAGTGGAAAGCAGGTAAGAAGTCCCGAGAGGAAGGAGCACCACAGGGAGCCAGCATTTACTCAGGTCAAGGAAGAAAGCTGTCCTCAGCCAGCCCCCAGCCAGGCAGGTCTGGCAGCTCTGTGCCAGCCCCAGGAAGGACTGCAGGGCAGATGTGCCCTGAGACCAAACATGTGAAGTTAAAACATCCAGAGCTTGCATCTTCCTTCACAAGGAACTTTTTTTGTGGTGGAGGATTTTCCATTCAATTCCCTTCTGAACAGGTTCGGTCTAAAAAGAACCAGCCCACACTTTCCTTGTGAAGACCAAAAAAACGAGCAGTTTTGGAGAGAAATGGCATTAGGTTATACTGACTAAAATGAGGGCTTTAAAGCAAAAATGCCATTAAGTGAAAAAAATTAATAAACATTGCTGGAGAAGTAATTAAATTGAAAAAACAAACCAACCTCTGTGAAGCCAGAAATGAAATAATTTCAACCCAACTTTTCATTTTAATGGAGCAGGTAACTTGAAGAAATGCAAGAGGATCATAATGGGTTGTCAAGGCAGGGATTCTAGGGTAGGTTCATTTTGAAAGATTTAATGGCTTGCACATGAACTATTCAGCAAACCAAGTGAGGTTTGGGACAACATGGGCATGACAGCAAATGCAGGAGCATGTCCCAGGTACCAGCACTGGCCTTGTACCTTCACTCTCCCCCACTAAATGCCATTTTCCCCATTGCAAACAGCAGACTCCACTGGTCTTCCCATGGGAACATCCCACATGCCCTTTCTCATTCACTCAGTTTTCTTCCTTCCCACCCTTCAAAGAAGCAGTGTTCATTTGGCTTGAGCTCATAAGCTTGGATGGGTTTATGAGCTCTCTGCCTGAACCTATGGACAATTACAAACATGGCTGGCTGCCTGGCTTTGTTAATTAGCTACCAGCAATGCTTCATTTTTCCCTCTGTGGTTTCCATCTGAATTAGTAGGGCACTGCTCATTAGTTCTCTTCCTCTTTGGGATGCCACAGTTGAACATTATGGCATCCAGATATGCCAGTGAGCTGAGAATATAAGCTTGATTTGTTTGGACAATAAAAAAATACTAGTTGCATTTAGATAATTAAACAAAATAACAGCAAAGCTATTTTGTACTGTTGCAATCTGTCCTTCCCTGTCCCAGTGCTCCATTTTCTTGTTTCCTGATCTGCTGGAAACAAAGATTACAGTAAGTGTCCTCAATAATTTCTTGGTTTTACTGTGAAATATTAAATTTCTCCTCCTCTAAATCTGGTTTGGTCTACTGGGTGTTGGCTGATGGGACAACACCCTGGCACTGATGATGTGCAGCAAGTCAGCACTTGCCAGTTTGGGCTCAATTCAACCAGAAACAGCACTTCCAGCAACTTGATGCTTATTTAATAACTTAAAAAAACAACAGCAGTAGCAACCAGGGTGGTAAAATAATGTTTTATTCCATGAATGAACAAACACTACCATGCCACATCCTAAAGTTCTTTCTACAAAAGATTGTGGACAGAGCAGATTTTTACATTTCTCAGTTCAAGTTCATTTCAGGCTCTCGAGCCTGTTCAGCGTAGCAAAATCTGGACACGCAGCATTCTCATGGTCTATTTGGCATCTTGCCAGATAAAGCAGATTTACACCGTAGTTCTTGTTCACACAATGTCGATGCACTGTAAATTAAAGGAGATAATCCAAACCAAACTAGGTAATTTCTGTGGTTTATCAATATATTTTTTCATGGTGGTCAAAGTACAACCAACATTCAAAGCTTAAAATAAAGGTAAGAAAAAAGACACACTAAAGAACACAATGGAAACATCATCATTGCTGTCAGGATGTGAGTTTACTCACAGTACTACGTAAAAAGTAGGAACCGGCATTGACATTCAAGCTGTTAAAACAAGAAAAGAAATTACATTAATTGTTATATTTCCAAGCTAGTGCTTCTAAGGAGTCCTGATCAGCAAAGAAGTGTTACCGCATGCATGTTGAACACAAGACTAATATTGGATTGGGGATCTGACAAAGAGCTGACTTACATTCCTTTATATACAACAAAATGAAATATACAGTATTAATACTGGCTGTACATTTGGTCAGAATATTTTACAAGGAGCGACACTGTCAAAACTCTTATGATGCAGTATGTGGAAGTGGATGGAGGTTGGATTTCTTTCTGAGAGCTGAACGTTTTCACAAGAAGTTTTAAAAGTTGCTTTCCACTGCTAAAATGAACAGTTAGACCATTTAAAGCAAAAAATCCTCTTTTTTTTATTTTTGTGGGTTTTTTTTCTCTTTTATGGTTGTCAAAACTAGTGTGAACAGAAGAGACAATTAAATGTGTTTGGAGTATGCTAATCAATGACCTGGAATAAAACTAAGCCACAGACAGCACGTGCAATAAATCTCTGCACATTGTCTCTGTTTAAATGGCTTTATAAGATGATCTGTGAGGTCCCTGGTACAAATTCCTGTACCACAGCCTCACCTAGCTGTTCCCTAGCAGGTTGCCAACCATTTGTTCCAACACTAAAGAAAGAGAAAGAATAATCATGACTGTCACATGTTTTTCTACATCGCAATAAAAAATATCTCAATGTAAGCTGATTTAGCTTATTTATGTGCATATTTTTCAAGGCTGCCAAAGAAGATACTCAATCTTGCTGGCAAAGCTATTTTGGGAATAGAAGAATGAGTTTTTCTTTGCTTTATTCCAATAGATTTTTTTAATATCTGGGTAGCTCAAGTCCCATTGCCTCATTAGACCCCTGAGGTCTAAAGTGAGTTGGTTAATTTATTTTATGGTTTTTCCCCATCCAGAACAAGCTGAGAAGCTAATGAGGTAAGCATGAGACCCAATGAACAACAGAAGTAAAAGCCATACAGAATTAACAAAATAATTACAGGAAGGTAAAGATCGGTGTAACTATGGTGATATTTCGCACAATTGGATTTGTGTATCCTGTAGCAATGACAAACCTCCTGAAGATGGAAAAGAGCAGGCAAGAGTATGAATCTGTATCCTTTAAAATAATTGTGCTATAATCTTCTCCATGTATTAGATTTTTTTTTCTGACACAGTGTGATGCTAACTATAGTAACCTTAATGTGGATGATGGATTTCACTGCTACTGCTTGACTGCTTGGCTGCAGAGAGACATTAAATCCTCCAGTCCTCAAAGTGGTTTCTTGGGGTGTTCCTTCAAGTTCAACGTCTTACCATTTTCACTCTATAAGTCATTTTGTGGCAAACAAAAACAAAAAAAAAGAAAAAAGAGAAAAAGAACCACCCCCCCAAAAAAAAACAAAACCGAAAAAAAAAAAAAAAAACAAAGAAAAAGAAGATGTTGGTTGTGATGGATTTATTTCAGACAGCAGTTTCTGCTGAGTTCACCATGCTTAATGTTCTTCCATTTAGGAAGGAGTTGCTGTCAAGTAAAGCAGAGGAGCTGCTTTCAGTTTTTGTTGTTTTTGTTTTTTTTTTAAATACATGCTAACAACATCTCTTTCTTCAGGAAAATGATCCAGTTGCATATTGTCAGAGAGATCCGCCTTGTGCTTAGCACGGACAAGTAGGGTTAATCATCCTCCTCCTCCTCTTTCAGTGGGGCTAGCGGGAGTTTGTCTGGAACCTGGAAACACTCCACAAAGAAGTTGACAATGGACTGGTACAAGTGCTGCTCAAATGCTGCATTGCTGAAGTAATGGCTTTGATCAGGGTAAATCTGAAAAAAAACCAGGTAAATACACACTTTTTAGAGCTTAAACTTTCAGGACTGACCACCCACACCTGCAGCTTGAGCTGCAAACCCACTGTGTCTCCTCAGCATCATTGGGCTTCGCACGGATGCTCCTGAGGCCCAGGGTAATTTGGGCACCAAGGTGCTCCAAGTGCAGACTTGCATCTTCCTTCACAAGGAACTTTTTTTGTGGTGGAGGATTTTCCATTCAATTCCCTTCTGAACAGGTTCAGTCTAAGAAGAACCAGCCCACGCTTTCCTTGCAAGTTGTTCCGAGCAGTTTTGGAGAGAAACGGCATTAGGTTATACTGACTAAAATGAGGGCTTTAAAGCAAAAATGCCATTAAGTGAAAAAAATTAATAAACATTGCTGGAGAAGTAATTAAATTGAAAAAAACCCAAAAACCTCTGTGAAGCCAGAAATGAAATAGTTTCAACCCAACTTTTCATTTTAATGGAGCAGGTAACTTGAAGAAATGCAAGAGGATCATAATGGGTTGTCAAGGCAGGGATTCTAGGGTAGGTTCATTTTGAAAGATTTAATGGCTTGCACATAGACCATTCAGAAAAATATCAGAGATATAATTTGGTGGAAAGTGGAGCTGTGCCATTCATAGTGGGTTGTCAGATTTCAGTGACATATATCTTCGTAACTTTTCTGGTTGATTTAATTTAGAACTGAAATTCGTCCTGAATTTGTTGTGTTGTTCCCAAAGAAAGTCAACAGGCATAAATTTCTTAGGGATATGTCTCTCACAACCTAATTTACTGTAATTCAATAATGGTCCTACAACTGTCCAGACCAAAACACTGATGTCACAGAGACATGGGACTAATACAAACATGTTATATGCTGGTGCTACTTCAGCTGCCAGGCTGAGTTTGCAACTGGTTTTTCAAGCCTTGTTTCATAACATCAGTTTGAGTTATATAGGGAAATAACTGTTTAAATAGAAGAAAAAGAAACATATACTGTACCTGTAAGCTGTAATTAGCCTTTGCCCTAATTAGGTGTGTGATAAGGTCCGTAGTATGCTGAAAATGGATTTTTTCTGTAAAAACAGATTGCAATCATTAAAGAGACAAATTTAATTAACAAAAATCAAAGCTACCACAAACATATAATGAACTAAAATGATGGGCTAACTTACCATCAGCAGTAGCATGAATGATCAAAAATGTCTGCTCCTTTAGTAATGATACTCTGTGTGATAATTTGCTGATCTGTGAAGGTAAAGGTTGCAATAAGATTAAAAAACTTGCTAGAAATTAGCAATTTATATGGAGGCAATAGAAGTGCTTATTTCCACTTAATACTTTATCACCAGGAGAACAAGCAGACACCAGCACAGCATATTCTCCTGGCTACTTATATAAATCTAGAGGTAAAATAGACCCCCACCCTGTGCTGGCAGGGCAGTGTCAGCAGCAGGAACATGTCAGAGACCCTCTTCTGATAATGTTCAATAAAAGCCTGAACTGTAGAACACATGGAAAATACCAAAGTGAGTAAAAAGCACCAATGAAAAGTGTGCCCAGGTGTCTGTGCCTAAGAACACTTCATGGATCTGGAGGGACTTTGGTGTGGTTTGAAAGCCAACCTCAATGAGTTTTGACAGCTTGGGGGATGATCTGATGTGAAATTCAAGTGTCCACTGCTGAGAACAACTTTGCACCCAGCTGTCTTTCAGATGCACAAGGAAATATAAATACAAGCAATTTCTAGAAGAACAAAAGGCGTTTGCACTAAGGTAGAGATTATGAGTGCAAAATCTGAGAGACAATGAACTCAGAGTTTAGGTAGCCAGGATAAATGTTCCCTTGTGAGGGCACAGGGTGGTATCTGCTTTCTCTGTGACAACTGTGCCAGACTTTTGCTGCCTTCACGTCTTCTGGCTGGAGACAAGGCTTAGAACTAGATTTTCTCTGTAACAAATTTTCTTGGTGTGACTATTCTTTATCAGGTTTTGCCTCCAAATTTCAGCACAGGATCCAACTGATCCCATCACATGTATTTAACCGTATTTTTCTTAACTGGTGCTGTGTTTCCTTTTCCATGTCCTGCTCAGCTCTGGGACAGAGCTTTACCTACCTGAAATATCACAAAGTTTGAGAAAGTCAAGCTGAGTTTCACTTGAATTTGTTTATCTCAGAGAGAATCAAAGTGGCAAGATCATTGGCAAGAACTTTCAAGGAGGTCGTGACACCGTGTCCTCTTGGGCACATCTGAGTCACTCAGCTCTTTCAATCTCTAAAACTGTATTTACCCAATTTAGAGAGGCAGACACAAGGGCTAATCAATAAAAACTTTATCCATGATTACTATTAAGACAAGAAAAGCAGTAAGCAGGCTGAAGGACACCTTCATTGCCTCTTGCATAACCTTGCTTCGGCCCCAAAGGAGAGCACATGGAAGGAGAGTTAAGACCCAGTTCACATTTTATCAGGGAAATGCAGTGTCCATGCAGTTACCTCGTATGCTCTGTTATCAACCCCGTGCAAGCCCAAGTATCTTTCAGAAAAGGCTGAAGCTTGAAGAGAAAAAAATTAAAATATCACTTTCAGTCATGAATACACTGGTGCTTCTGAGTCAAATATTGTAAAGGCTAAAAAACTCCTTATTTTCTAACATGGCATTATTTATAGAGGATGCATTTCTAAAAGTTTTTGAAAATGCACTAAGGATATGTTTGTCATTGTCACCATGTACTTCTGGTGTCTCAATAAGTCACAGGAAAACCTTTTTTTTTTTTTTTCCTTTTTTAATGCAACTGAGATAGAAGAGCTCTATCACATAGTGCACCTTTCTCCTGTCACACAGGGCCTTCTCCATCAGCAGCAAGTTCCCTTTGGTCTCAGGGATAACAGTACAGCTCCTGAAGTCTGGCTGAACACCACAGACTTCCCTGCCAGCCCCCTGAATTTCACTGGTGCAAAATGCAAAGGGAACTGCTATCCCTGAGAGAAAGGAGCATCACATGCAGGGCAGTGCTGTGGTCAGAGGCAGGATGGGCCAGGCAGACTGGATCACAGCTTGCATGGATGGGTGCTTCAGGCAGGAGGGAAGCATGTTCAAGGCAGTGGGGGTGGTTGGTGATAAAGGCTGGAGGGGTTTAAAGACAATTCTCCTTTATTTAAAAGGAGTAATAAAGTGTTTTGGTTACTCTGACTACCACAGCTGGTCCTGCTGGTGCCAGTTAAATTGCTTTAGTGGAGAAAAAGGGTCTATGGCTACTCCTAAAATGACACAGAATATAAACCAAGCAGGATCTTGGGAAAGAAAGATGGCAAGTGGGAAAGGATAGGGAAGAAACATCATTTGTGGTCAGCAGGAGTGGGCTGAGGAATGGGATTTACCATACAGTCTGAAGTCTGTCACTGGGGAAAGAGCAGCTCCACAGGTGAACACCTGGTTGTCTTCACCAGCTGGAAGCATGTAAGTGCTCAGGTAACCACCATAATCCTGTAGCAGAAATGAGACAGGGTGTCAGTGCTCCATCTGGGAGGCACTGCTACTTTTGGGTACAGAAACAGGGCAGCTGAGACCTTGCAGCAAATGCTGCAAAAATACAGAGCCTTTAACACCTTGCCCTGGAAAACCAGAGAACAAGGGACCTCTCGCTGGTCATGTGGCTGGCACACTCCTGAAGGCAGGAGGGTTGTGTACCCAAGAGCTGACATTTTTCATCTCACTTTATGGCTACAGCTCTAACCAGATATGCTACCCCTCCAAAACGCTTACCCCAGATTTTCTCTACTCAAAATGAGCATCACAATTCAGCGTCTGCTGCCAGCCTGTTAATAATTCCCTGCAGAGATGTGCTCTCCGTGCAGCTCTCTTTGCCCACTCCAAGCCCCTGTCTCCCACAGTAAACAATTTTCTACTCGCAGTCCCACTCTCATCTCAAACTGTGTGTACTTTACTGTGGCTGTTTCCCAGCCAGGCACACATGGCAAATCAGCCTCAGAAATCCACAGGGTTGTTGTACATGAGTTAAATTTACCCATGTTCCCACAGGCTTTAAGGAGACAAGGTGAAAATGAAATAAACGTTTGCAATGGGAAAAAAATAATGAACAATCTGATGATGCTTTCTGAGCAACAGTCACTTTTTGCACTTGGAAGTTAATTTAAAAGAAGTCATTGATGAATACATTGGTGGAATGAAAGCCTCCACCTTTAACATCACTGAGCAAGGTGCAGTCTATCCCAAAATGAAATAATAATAAAAAAGTCACCACTGACATATTCAATAAGTCAGGGTTTAACTCAGCTGTTTAGCCATATCAGCCAGCTGGGACAGCACAGAGGAGCAATGGCAAAGCATTACCTTCCCAAAGACACCGACCCTTGTTTTATCAATGAAATGCTCCTGCAGCATTGTCCTAGAACATGAAAAAGAGAAAGCAATAGGTTAAAAATATTTTTCCCTTCAAGGGCAAAAATGGTGATTTTAATCAGCTTTAAATTAAACTGGCCACAGAAAAAAGTCATGGAATAGTTTGAGTTGAAAGGGATTTTAAAGATCATCCAGTTCTAACTTCTCTGCCATGGGCAAGGACACCTTCCACTAGACCAGGTTGCTCCAAGCCCCATTCAACCTGTCCGTGGACACTTCCAGGAATGAGGCATCCACAGCTTCTCTGGGAAACAGGTGCCAGTTCTCACACCTTCACAGTTAAGACTTTCTTCCCAATATCCAATAGAAACCTCCCCTCTTTCAGTTTAAAGCCCTTTCCCCTTGATGCAGACCATCTAAATCAAGCTGGTCCAAGCTGCTTTCACATGGATCTGTCTGATTTAATCTTGCAACCTCAAGTGCTGGATTTGACCAAGCAATGGTAACAAATAACCTGCACTACCTCTGGAAGCCATAATAAGCTATTGCACAGCTATTGCAATACTCTGATAGTGGTTTTAACATGATTATGTGCAGAATAAATCTAACAATATGACAGGACTTGACATTCAGGGTTTTGCCCTGGTTATTCTGTTTAAAAAGTTTTTTTAAAGGATTTTTTCCAACTGCCAGGCAAGCAAAAGATTAATGTAAGAATAGATATTCAAGCTTACTTGTTTGTAGCTGTACGACTGTACAGAGCTAAAAATAAATAAGCTTTGAACATGTGATACAGATAAGTGTGCTCTAATTTAGCTCTGTTTAAGGCTTGTTTTTCTCCCTCTGCTCTGGTTGGCATGAGCTCCCTCTCACATGCAGTTGCAATTGTACAACCACGTTGTCCCTCCCTCCCATCCCCTCACTCTACCCTACACACCATTAAAGCTACCAGGACTAATGAGTCTTGGGTTAATTATCACAATGAATTAATTTCTCCAGTAACAGCGCCATTCACCGGACAGCTTCCAGCTGATCCTTCTCCTCCAAAAGGCCCAGCCTCCTCTTGACCTCGTGCAGGAGCTTGGCGCCCTGGAAGCCGCTGCCGCGGCCGTCGAACTTGAGCACGATGGCGTTGTGGGAGCTGACCATGACGCTCTCCCACGTCACCTCAAACCTCTCCGTGACGATCTGGCTGCCGGGTGTCCCATCTCTGGAACAGAAACGGGCATCAAGGAAAGGCAACAGCACCCAGAGCTGGGGGAATTGTCTTGGGATAGGGCAGTCCTGCAGGGTCAGGCACCCATCGTGCAGGGTAAGGGAAGGCAGGTTTGTGGAAGGGGACAGCAGTCTCTGCAAGGATGGCATGCAGGAGGCTGATCGTGTGGGATGGGTTTTGAGGCTGGGTGGAAGCTGCAGGTAGGTTTCTGCCTCCCTCTGTGCGCAGCAGGCTCTAAGCTGAGGTTTGAACCACACCAGCAAGCACATCTCTAACTGGTCAGGCTTCCTCCTGTGAGTAACCAGGGCAGTGACACAGGTACCTGTCGAGTTTTCCCTTTTTTATGTCTGCTGTAATGTATATCTATTTTCTATGTTCCCCAAAGGTCTTTTTTATTTTCTGCTGAAGTGGTTCTGTCATCATTGCTTCACACAAGTACAGACAGAAATGATTTCTAAAGTTATAAAAAACAGCTTAATAATGCCTAGTTGGCACAAAATTGGTGAGAAAGGGAAAGGGGTGGGCAAGACCTCCTCTTCACCCTTCTGTTTAGGGTCTGATCCTGTACAGGGGAACTGTCTTGAGAAATACAGACCATACTTCAGCCAGGCAGCTCAGAAAAAACAATGGACAGTGATGATGATGACTTTAAGCAATAATTTAGGGCTGGGATTACTGTAGAGCCACTGGCATTTTTATCCACTTTTTTGTCATTTTTGGGGTTCTCAGAGACACCAGGCACTTCACTGCAGGACTCTAATGCACATGTGACTCCAGTTATTTGCATTCATCCAAGTGAGACCCCGGCCCACCCAGCTCCAGAGGCAGCCTAATCAAGTGCCCTGCACTTGATGAGAACCAATCTTCCTTGAGCACTTTGATAATGAAGCACATTTTCTCCGCAGTAATTTTGTGATGTAACAACACCCTCGCTGCAGTGGCTTTGTCCTTCATGGAGAGTTGTGCAGGGTGGCACAGGCATCCACCAGGCGTTCATCCCTCCTGCATGAGGCTTTCCTCTCATGGGGTGTTCCCTGGCAGGCAGCAAGTGATGCACTGGGATGCAGCCAGGGCCAAACAGGTTCTTCCAAGGTCAGTGAATTCCCTCCTGCAACTTCTTTTCAAATTGCCAAAAAACCCCCCAGTAATGTGCATTATTGTTACTAAATGTTGCATAAAGAAATACCCGTCTGCTCTGCCCGCCAGGAGGAAAACCTATCCATCTAATATAAATGCTAACTTTGTGGAGGTATTCAAAGGTTTCCAGCTCTCTTTTTACTGTCACTTCAGTGAGCACCAGCACTTACAAGGGAATGATTTCTGCATGACGACACCTAAAATTTAAGCTCTAGTAAGGCTGACTGAATTCCACTCTAAAATTACCTGTTAATCACAAAGTGGGTTCCCTAAGCACTGGGACAGAAAGTCAAAATATATCTGTATTCCTCCTCCTCCTGTTTCTGCCCCACAAATGACTGAGTGTACATGAAACACCTTCACAAAATTCCCAATTTACTCTGCAGGATTTCAACTGGGTGCCCTCCTGGGAGCTGAAAACCTCGGCTCAAACATGGGAAAGAAGGGATGTGTGTCTGGCCTCTCCCAGCTGTCAAGTGAGACAGGGTAGGGACCAATGTGCTGGACTCTGGCATTCCTTGTACAAAACACATCATTAAAGTTTCTGATCATGGCCAAGGTTTCCAAGCTGCCCTGATAATGTGAACAGAAAGAAAGGACAAGCAAGAACTTACACAACCAAAAGCAAGGGGTAGTGTGCGGTGTCCGCAAAGGTTGCTGGCTTCAAGATCTGCATTGGCAATCCTAAGCAAAAAAAGAACAAATAATAACATGTCTTTGATATGGGAATGCTGACATGATTCCAATAGATTTTTCTGGTGTTTTAGCCACAGATGAGTAGGAGCAGAATGGCATTTCTTCAGAGGCTGTGGCAAATATTACCTTAGAAACACAGATGTTGCCAAAGACCCATATTGTGATAGCTGAGGTGACAAGAAATGTAAATGGGGAGTACAGTGCAAGCTGCTCAGTCATGCATCACTCTTACAGCATTCAATTAACATCTGTCAATAGCTATAATTTTCCTTTTTTGGCATCTGGGTGAGTGACGCAGACAGAAATCAATATTTCAGGGCAGCAGAGAAGGAGGAAAATTGGCAATGAAAATAGTAATTTAAAACCCAATTAAGTATGGTGGCTGGGGGAGGGAAACAGAATTATTTTGCTATAATGGTGTGAAGACAGAGGGAGAAACAAGTATCTCAATCCTCACTTCCAAAGGGTTAAATTTTGTAGACAAGAGGCAAAGGTGCTGAAGCCCAAGCTGTTACACTGGTACAGAACCAACGTAAAGGAGGGATGCGATCACTAAAGCTTCTTTTAACTGAATGTCATTTCTGTGGCTTTTTATCCATAGCCAAAACTGCTTCCATACAAACCCTCTCTGCATCAACGACAGCACGTTTATTTTTGAAATATTAACTACAGTCTAGATTAGCAAAGGCCCAGCAATTAAATCGGTATTAGGAGCATTTTCAGGAGATTAATACACAGATTAGCAGCATGGTTTAAGTGGTTTGCTTTGCAATCGTTACCTGACACTCTGCCTAATTAGTTATTCCATCTGAATGCTAATAGCTGCAAATTGGATCAATGGCCCAGGGACAGCCAAAAAGGCCACTGCTCGACTTTAAATATTACTATATGCAGTGTTCCCAAGGCTGCTCAGCCCAAAGCTTTGGAAACACAGGGATGGCACAGCAGAATGGCCATGTGGCTGCGGCCAGTTTGTGTTTATTACACACAAGTATATTTTTGGTTAAATGAGCAGAATTGCAATGAGGCCTGCATTTAAAAAATTTAGTATCAAGCTGAGTTATCCCTAATCAACTGCCAGTCTCATATGAGCTGGCTTATGGGGGGAAATATGGGCTCTTTATCCATCCTTTCCTGTCCATAAAACCTAGGAGTGCACGTCTGTTCCTGTTATTTTATGCACTGGTTTATGTTCCTTATGCCCATGTGGCAAACAGAACATTTTAGGGCCACTGTTATCCTTTTCAAATGGCAACCCTCTCTCAGCCTTTGTTTCACATTTTATAACATCTGAAATGGCTGAAATCAGTAACCTGCCCCCCAGCACAGCTGGCTGCTTTCACTTTGCTGCATATGGCCTGAGAAATACACTCCTTCCTGCCTTGGGAAACATTATGAGCCACATCTTGAACACAGAGTCTTTGGGGTTTTTCCTAGAGTTGCCACCATACATGCAGGCTGGGATTTTGGGGAGCCTCCGTGCATATCTGAGTATGTGGGTTTTCCCCATATGGGGAAGGTGTCTGCTTACAGCCAGAGGAGATATTTTTTTAGGTTGTTTCAGGTACAACTACAGAGACAGGCTTACATTTTGGCTGTTTGCCACCAGGCTTTTCTTTCTCTCTTTGGAATATATATATGTGGGGAATGATTACACAAGTGGTAGAAATAACACACCAGCTGCAGGTGCAAACTGCTCCAAGTGTCTGCTTTCTTTACTCCAGGTGAAATCTCCTTTGTCTTTTCTCATAAAGCCCCTTTTTTAAAAACCCTCCCAAATAATGTGGCTTTTTCTGAAGGATCCTGAGTGACTCCAATGGGCAGAGTCATGTGAGAGTCATCTTCATTCACTGCAGCTCAGATTGTGCACTGAGAGGCAACCACAGCTGTAGCCAGCAAGCACACACATTATCCCACTCCAAACCCATTTCAAATGACACACACACACCCAGGGCAAATGCTTCCAACAAGGGGGCACCCCACTGTGTCATTTCCTAGAGTGGCTTTTTCTTCACAAAGAAAATTGTAAGAGGAAAAAAATCCAACCCTATCATTTTGCCTTTCTTCAGCTGAATTCTCATCAAATTCTGCCTCTGTAATAACCTCCTTATGTAGCACATTCCAGGAGAGTGCTTTGCAAACTGTGTGAGTTTATTGAGAGTCAAAGTCATTTTTCCTCCTGCCAGTTTACCCAGGATGGCTGTATCATTTCACAGCTATAGCAGTGAAAGAAAAAAATAAGTGAGAAGAAAGGTGCTACTTACTGTAATCATCTATCTTGATTTCCATGTATTCTACCTTAGGCATTTGCCTGTCATTTACAGCCAGCTGCACATTTTCATTTACCTCCAGCTCAAAAATTTCTGAAAGAAGGACAAGATCACAAAAACTTTTGGCACAGTTTGTGAAAATGCATTTTAACATTTTATAGTCACTTTGATATATATAAAACAAGTTTCCTTACAAACAGATTTCCTTCTAGTCCTCACAGATGTCTAATTCAGTTAAATCTTTGAAACCCCTTCCAAGATCTGCATTGGCAAAAAGCTATATTCCTGAAAGGAGTGACATTCAGTAGATTTGCAGGAGGTGGGAAGGTGACATTACCATGGGTCCCAGACAGACATCCACCCACCATGCAAAGGCAGATCTCAGATGAAGAGGTCCTCAAGTCTGTGTCCAAGTTATACATAATAAATAGCAAGGGGAGGAGACTATGGAGGGCTTCAGCCAAAGTGGTACTGCTGTGCAAGAAAAAATCCATGGCAAGGAAAGCCATGGGAGAGGAGAGTGAACAAAGCTCATGCAAACCTGCAACATCAGGTTTCGGAGCAATCTTGACTTTTGGAGTGTTTCAAAAATTTTTCATTTTGCTTATGTGTGTTAGCCACGGACTCTCTGGGTCAGAAATAGAGAATTCCTTCCTCTGTCCTGGGATTTCACCTTTATCCCCTCATCCTGGCCATGTGCTTTACCTGCTGAGCCTCTTCTAGAAAAAGCAGCCAGCACCAGCACCAGAAAGAATAAGTCCTTCCCAGCTGGTAGGGAAAGGGCCCTTCTTTAGGAGACACTTCAGGCTGTGTGTCTTACATGGTGGGAAATGTCTCCATGCCTGGGCAAAGATCCTGAGCCCCATGGAGGGGGTGTTCAAGGGCTGGGGTGAGTGAATCCTGAGCTAGGGAGTCTGTTGCAGTGCTTATTCCCCTGGATCAGTCTGGGTGTGACCCAGGGGGATCCAGGGCATTATCTCTGCCACTGAGCCCAAGGAGGGTGTGAGATTTCACACCACAGTGTGTGTGTGTCACCGACTGTAACCTATTTGAGACACACTGATAAATAGATATGTAACCCCAGCTTCTCAAATAACACTTCTGGTAGCTGATTATCCTGCTCTCACTGCCCATCTCTGCTGGGCAGGCAGACAAAAACTTGCCCTTCCAGTTAATATATTTCAGAGATCTTTCATCAGTAGTATATTGGTTCAGTGACTATTCACCCTGCTTCTGCAACGCCTGGCTCTTTATCAAAGCCACAACCCCCACAAAAGTGGCAAAGCAACAGCCTATTAAGTTTAGTTAAATATTAAGATTCTCATTTAATTATGGCACACACAAGTAGCTTTATCAGCAGAAAGGGTCTTGCCACGTAGGGGAATTTAGTCAAGCCGTTTTATTTGTTCATATAATTGCATTCACAGAAAGCCAGGAAGACTGTGAAGGAAATAAAAAAGATTGGCATATCTCCTAAAGGACTTTCCTTTTTGCTTTAGGACCACAGGGAGTTCGAGTCTGTGGGGTACAAATGGTCATTGCTTAATTAAATGTAAGCATTCTCTAATATTCAGTGCAACTCGCTATTATCAGATTATTGCAGAATACAGAGGCAAACTCCCTTTTATAGAGTAATGGGCTCATATTAAATAAGTAAATTCAGTCACATGCAACTGTCAGTTGCCCTTTATTCAAAAGCAAAAGAATGAGGGGGGAAAAAGGAAAAGAACCAAGGGAAATAGTAATTGTATGCAGAAGATCATGAATTTCATTAGAGGATGTGTTCTGCACATCAATGGGTAAATTGAGTTCTCTGTGTAGTAGATGCTACCCACATGCATCTGTCAAAGTAAAACTAGTCCTGGTGTGTTTTGTGTTAGTTTGTAAAGCCCTTCATTTACTGTTTCTGTTTTATATTGTCTGTCTTTTTACTGACCTCTATGTATTTTGTAGAACTGTACAGGAGGGTACACCATCCATGAGAGCACTATCCCATGCTGGTATGGCCAGTCAGACACCTCCATGTCTGGGTAAAATTAATGTGTTTTATTTAAAGTGGATGAGAAAGAAAGTGACTTTGGAGCTGCAGGTCAGGGTGAAGAAACTCTCCTGGCTGAGGGCACTGCCAACCTCAGGCCCTGCTGAAAAGAAGAAGGAGCTGACACTCCCTTGTGCAAAGAGCCTTTCCTGTGACACTCCCTGCCTTCAGTGGGAAATGAAGCAGGTCAGCATTTCACAGTAAATCTTTAGTATGAGTGCCAAATTTCTTGGTTTGTTCACTCTCTTTTTTCTTTTCTTTTGAGACAAGAGCAGTGAGTTTCTATAAATCCAGATAAGTAAAACTGATACCTAATAAACTGGTACTGACTGTGTATAAAGTAGATAGAAATAGAATAAAGGTGTTGCTTAATACTTGGGTCACATCAGCACCTGAAGTCCCTAACTGCAGTTAAGGCTGGGCTAAATTCTTTGTTAAAATGAAAGATGATGTTTTCCCATCAAAATGACGGGAGCAGATAAATTTTGATTTCATGTGAGACTCGGTGCCACACTCTGTCAGAGTGAAACCCCAGAAACTCCATGGCTTTTTGGACTCTACATTGCCAGTCTGGTAATGGCTATAGAGTGCCAAATATTTTGAGGGAAGAAACCTGTTTTTGGAGTAATTCCAGCTTTGCACTGATGTGTATGCAAACCATTAGCATGACAAAACTTTACCATACAATAAATGCTACAATCTCCATGGACAGATCAGGGAAACAGGCAGAGGCACCACCTGTGGGGCTCACTCTGCATTATCTCTGATAATTCATACCAGAATGATTTTATTAAAACCACAGATTAGGCTGAAGAGTCCTTATATTTATCTTACTATCTTATTTCTTTTATATGGGATGCAAAATAAAATCAGTGGAAGACTAACAAAAAGGGAGAGATTTTAACTATGCATTTTTTTTGAGAAAGAGGATAACAAACATTCCCCAACCAGTGTGTTTTCACCCCAAAAAGCAGCTGTTGTGATGGCAGTACAACAGCTCTGCAAGTCCCTTTGCCTTGCAGAAATCTTGCGTTTAGGCAGAGTCTGGAGTCCCCAGGAGTGTAAGTTTAGCAAAGAGACATCTCACTGTCCTGCCTGGCTGCTTTTCTCTGAAGAGGTGCAAAGCTCAAGCTTGTTCTTACTCTGTGCATCCGTTGTGTTGTGAACAGTCACCATCGGGACACGGGGACCTTGAAAAGGAGAAGAAAGGAACTTGGTTAGATTTCTGTCAGAGCACATACAGACACACATGAACCTGGTTTTGAATTCCATGGAGCTGAAGGCTCTTGAGACTTGCTTTTCATGCAAGAATAATCTAAAAAGCAAATCACCCTGGTGTTAGAAAGAGTTTATGACTAAATGATGGTACTGTGGGCTCAAAGACATGTGAGGTTTCAAAGCTCTCTCCCAACAGACCACTAAATGCATCTTTCCCTAATTTGTAAACATTATAATTAGCACAAACACAATTAAACCACTTGCCTTTAAAATTATTCTAATGACACCCAAACATCACAGCACAAAGCATTTACATTTTGTATGCTATGGATAAATATTGCTGTTTTGCATATTATTTTTTCTTAATGAATTAAACACCAGCTTGGCTCTCACACTAAAAAAGGCCACATATTCTGTCTTAAAATGCAACATTTGGGTATTGAAATCAGTGCTGCACAAAGAGGATTATCATTACTATGCAGTATACATGAGTGAACCACACAATCCACTGCCACAGGATGCTGCAGCATTCAGGATGCCACGATTTTTACCACAGGATGCTGTAGGGTGCTTTAGCACAGTGATCTGGGTTCATCTTCTAGCTCACAAAGCCATCAAGTGGCTGACAGAAAAATGGGATGGTACATGAGATCAAGTTCATATTTTGGTTGTCAACCTCCTTCTCCCTGTTTTACAGTTGTTATCTGGTGACTGCTCTTGGAGCCAGGACAGCGGGCCAAGGTGGGCTGACCAGGACAGCCACTCACATGTTGCTCCAATACCTGTTTGTAGATTTTTCCTTGAGCCTGACAGTATTGCTCAGGAAGGTGGAAGTAGCCCTGCAGTGATGAAATGGTGAATTTTTCACTTCAGAGACAGTGGTTATCTCACTTCCCTTTCCCTATAATGTAGTGTGGCACAACAGCAGTCAGTGTGAGCAGCTGGGGAAATCTGTGTGCCCAGCAAAGACCCCAAGAGCAGGGCCAGGAGGGTCCCACGCTGTGTGTGTGGGAAGATCCCAGAACCAGAGACCTATGGAATCATCTAGGCTGGAAAACACCTCTAAGTTGATAGAGTCCAACCATTAATCCAGCACTGCCAAGCCCTTTATAAACCATGTTCCTCAGTGCCACATTTACTTGGCTTTTAAATACCTCCAGGGGTGGTGGCTCCATCACTTCCCTGGACAGCCTGTTCCAGTGCTTGGGAAACCTCTTGTAGAAGAAATTTTTCTGAATATCCAATCTAAACCTCCCCTGGTGAAACTTGAGGCCATTTCCTCTTGCCCTATCCCTTATTCCTTGGGAGGAGAGATCAACCCCACTGGGCTGCACCCTCCTTTCAGGAGGTTGTAGAAAGTGATAAGATCTCCCCGAGTTTCTTCTCAAGGCTAAACACCCCCAGCTCCCCCAGCTGCTCCTCACAGGACTTGTGCTCCAGACCCTTCTCTTGCCCTTCCCCAGACAGGTTCCAGCACCTCAATGTCTTTCTTGTTGGGAGGAACCCAAAACTGAACGCTGAATGTCAAAACACCCAATGTTCATAAAGCTTCAAAAGTAAGACAGCTTTAAGAGACTGATATTCACTGAGATTTCAGCCCTTTTAAGTTGCCTTCCTAAGCCCTTCAACCTACAAGAAAATCTTGTGGGACCATCACTTGTGCAATGGCAATTTGTCTCTGTCTGGCTGAGAAATTCCCCTGAAATGCTGGAACTGGGAGTGTGCACACAAATGGCAACAAAAGCAGGTTCCTGTGAGCCAATCATACTGCTTTAGTACATGAAATGAGCTCTTGAGAGCAAGAAAAACTTTAAGGTGCTGTAATTGTGTCAGTGGTTTTCCTGTGCTGCCAAGAACCCACATCCCATTGCAGGCAGTCAAGAGTGTTTCATCCAGACCTTGCCTATACAGAGAGAGGAAAGGCAGAAAAAGATTTTATTTTCAATTAAGCTGACTAATATGGTAGCTTGATTTTATTTCCTTGTAATTGAGAATCTCCTCTCCTGACAATCCAATTATTTTGTTAGCACCATTTTTTAGAATGCAGGAAGGCAGATTATAATGCACTAAGGAAAACAGGTTTACTCACCAGGATTTAGCTGAATTTACCCTTCTCCTACTGATATACATTGATATGCTGACCATATTTGTTTATAAATCTGCCCTGCTTTTCTCCTGCAGTCCCTGAAGCCAAACTGCTGGAAAAGCAGCAAACCTAATAAACATGGGCATGATAAAATCATCACTGAAAATAAAAGGAGTCCTCCCAAATGGCTTCAGTTGGAGCTAGAGCAGTACTTTAATTAACACCAAAATACCAACAAAAAGAAAGGGATAAAGAGAGAAATACAATGCATATAATCCTTTTATTTTCTAATTTATTTTTCTTTTTTTTTTCTGTTGGCATTGTAAAAGCTGTGAAAAACTAATAAATAAAGAGAAATTTTAGTGTGTAGTTTAGAAAATTACATGTATTATATATTGTGTTAGTCTCTTACTACTAACTACTGCTACTGCTACTGTGTCATCTCCCCAAATCAATGCTTTCAAGCAAAGTCCTTTATAAAGATATTCAGTTTGAGGTAATATGAAAAAAAAAAATAAAAAATAAATAATAGGTATCCTTGAAAAAGTAAATTTTTGACTTGCCTAATTTTTATTTTTAAGAAACAAGGAAAAATAGTAAAGACAGAAAACTACAGAGTAGAATCATCTCTGTGAGAAGGATTACCCTTAATATTAAATATTCTCAATGATAACACTCCAGTTAAAGAATGCATTTCACTTGCAAGCAGGCTGAAAGTCATCAAGAAGAAAAAGTCATTTTTTTAGGAATGACATAAATTGCTTATTTCAATGCCAGTTTTTAAAGTAAAACAACCCAGTTACATGCTAAACTATGTCTTTCAGTGCACACACATCAGAAGTCTTTCAACACTCACAAGCTGAGTGCCTAATGCCTGACAGGGACAGAAAGAATTCCTTGAAAGGAGAATTGTATATTCATTAACTGCCTCCCCAGCTTTATTTTTAAACCTGTGTTGGTGTGACAGTCCCATTACACATGCCATCTGCTAAATGCCATCCACTGTCATGTGCAGATCTGAGAGGGAAACCTAATTTGTTCAATGAGCTGCTGGGAGCTGACAGAAGCAGGGTGAGGACATCCCTGCTCCGTGTCTCCTTCCTCCAGAGCTCATCCAAATGGGCTTTGATGGGGGCTCTGCTGCTTCTGTTCTTTAATTTGCACTGATGCTCCCCCTACCTGCACTGATGCAGGTAGGATGCCTACCTGCCCTCCTCAGAAACCTTGTGAATGCTCTGCCTTTTGCTCACAGAGGTCCTGAGAGCACGGGAGCATTGGGATCCTTGAAGGATAAAACTCAAAGTGCTCCACTTTAAGAAAGCAAAGCATATACTGAGCTGCTTTGCACTGATTTGCAAAGGTAAGACCCAACTCATACCTTAGAACCTCATGCCTGTTCCCAAAATCACAGGCAGCCCACTCTCTGCATGAGATGGTGAAGATGATTCTGTTGGATTTCTTGCCCCAGAGGGGTTGGTACAAGCAGAGCTGTGACACTCTCCAAGGTGTGGGACCTGGCACTGATGTTCCCTGCCACCTCCACCAAATTTTTCAGAGGTAGCAGGATACAGGCCCCCGTTATCCCTCTCTGCACCCCTGTCAGGAGTGGGATGGGCTGTACCTGAATGCCATTGCAGACTCCACTCCCCCCTCCTGCCCCCAGCATTGCACCAGCCAGCTCCAGAATCCTGACAGAAGTTTGAGTGTTGTTTCCTTATTTATAGCTTAAGAGAAAGGAGAAAACTATTGACAAAACTTCTTTGTATAGACACACTCTGTACATCACAGAGGGCTGCATGGTTAATAATGCTGCACAAGACTCTAGTTACATGAATTAGATTTTCAATTAATACATCTGAAAGTCTGGGTTTATCATAAGGCCTTTGACTTTAAAACCATTACTGCAATTATCCACGCAAGAAGTAAATTGAGCTATATTGCTATAATGACAATGGGCAAATTTATCATCCGGGAAGTGCTACCCATCATGATCTGAAAGGGCACAAAAACTCAGTGCCACAATAATTTGATAAGAAAAACCACTGGCCACGGTTTTTCATCAATTTTTAAGCAGCTTTTACTCTTATTTCCAAGAGGGTTTTGCTTAAACATGAACTGAAAGAAGCAAATATAGATATTTAGGTGATAAGGTATAGATTTCTAAAATAAAAATGGAAAATTGTTTTACAACTGTGAAGAAAATATTTTCCAGACATCTGTTTTGTAATACTTTTTATATTCCAGAGTATTTCTGATGTCTTCATGATCTAAACAGCATAGGGAATTATATCAGTTAATATACCTTTAAAATGAAAGTAATGATTATAAAAAGAATATGAAGTAAAATTGAAGAAAAGCTAATCAAAATTATAGAAGAGTTAAAAAAGAATAAAAAGAGGAATTGCCTCATTCTTCTCATCTATATTCTCAAAGGCTTCAATGTTGCAGATAATTTCAGACCAGAAGCTAAATTCACAATGTGTAAACAATGAAAATTCAAATACTATCTGCCAGTGCCACCAGCATATCTCTTAAGCACTGATGAATGATTTAAAAGAGCAGCTGCAAGTGATGGGAGCTGAAAGGGTCTGGCTCTGCACAAGTGAGATAATTGGCAACAGCCATCTCTGTGTACAGATTCCAGATCTCTTTATTTGCTAATCCATGAATTATTTATATGTGCTGCATAAAGTTCGTATGTTGGGGTGATATTATCAGCCTAATAAATAAAGACACGGGGAGTTCCGTGGAGCACTGCTCACAATTAAAATGTTTCCCCATTTGCAGTATTTTCCAGCCAACGCTATGGACAGATGTTCGTGCTGTTTGCTTTGGCAACCTTGTTGACATAAACATCAAACAGATTTATGCTGCTATTCACCCTCC